ATCAGGGAAACGATCATATTTTCTTGTATTTTGATTTTGTCTCCTTTTTGTCCCACCTAGGTTCGCCATGGCTGTGATGCCACCTGTTGGAGCACAGGGCCCTCTGGCTGCCAGCAGACCCTCCTGCACAGAGCTGTTGATGAGAATAATGAGGTCTCTGCTTGCTTCCTCATCCGCAGGTCTGCCAGTTCTCCTTACCATATGGGTTTGGGAAATGTGGATGCACATATTTGCTTAATCTTTGGATATAGGAAAATCAATATACTAATATTTTTACAAAAGTCATGTCAATGAAAACGATTGTGCAAGTAAAAATATAATCAGACTAAAACGAGCAACCTGACTGTTTTATAAGCTTTTACTGAGATCGATGTATCTAGGTGTCTTAACTTACTGTCTGTGTTATGTGTGTGTAGTGGATGTGACGTGAACAGCCCCAGACAGCCAGGCCCTAATGGGGAAGGAGACGAAGAAGCCCGAGATGGACAAACGCCCCTCCACTTGGCAAGCAGCTGGGGATTGGAGGAGGTGGTGCAGTGCCTTCTAGAGTTTGGAGCTAATGTTAATGCACAGGTCAGTCCTGTCACATCAGAGGGTCCATTTTTCTCCGATAGTACTAAGTGAGTTGTAAACATGTTCTATTTCTCACTGTATAATCCTGTGTCTGTCACTTCATCAGGATGCAGAGGGCAGAGCTCCCATCCATGCTGCGATTAGCAGCCAGCACAACGTCATTATACAGCTCCTCATTTCCCATCCAGACATTCGTCTCAACATCCGCGACCGTCAAGGAATGACCCCCTTCGCCTGTGCCATGACGCACAAGAACAATAAGGCGGCAGAGGCTATCCTCAAGAGGGAGCCAGGTGCTGCTGAACAGGTAGCACTGGCGTAAATGCACCGGTTAATCTTAAGGACTGCTTTTGCATCAACAAAAATTGTGTACAGTCACAGTATTAATCACTCCTGACCTCAAACTTCTGTTTCTGTCCAGGTGGACAACAAAGGGCGTAATTTTCTCCATGTGGCTGTGCAAAATTCAGATATTGAAAGTGTCCTGTTCCTCATCAGTGTCCAAGCTAATGTCAACTCCAGGGTTCAAGATGCAGCCAAACTCACCCCTCTCCACCTGGCTGTCCAGGCTGGATCTGAGATCATTGTCCGCAACCTGGTACATTTTTCTTGTTCCTCTTGTTTTTACTATTCATACTAATGTAAGTGTTAATGAAAGAGTGGTGCAGGTGATACTGTTATTTTATTTATTTTTTTGCTTTTTTCTGCTACCAGCTGCTTGCCGGAGCCAAAGTAAATGAGCTGACAAAACACAGGCAGACAGCACTACACTTGGCTGCCCAACAGGACCTGGCCACTATTTGTTCTGTGTTGCTGGAGAATGGAGTAGACTTTGCTGCTGAGGATGAGAATGGCAACAATGGTATCTGATACCATTTTATCTTTATTATGCATTTGTGATCTGGGATGCTGCTGTTAAACAAATGGCACTGGAATAACAGATAACAGATAACTGTCACGGGACCAGTAGTACTGTTGTGTTAAAGTGACTATTCAATACTCGTTTCTGTGGATATTTTAGTTCACACTATATGTGTTCAACTATATTGGTATCTACATTAATAATGTTATTTCACTAAAAAGTGATAAAGATAATGGACTATTTTAGTCAGTTTTTTTTTTTAAGTCAGATGGTGTAGGTTTTGACTTATCTGTAGATATCGCTTTGTTCAAACGAGCTACTCTACTTACTCTAGTAAGTGTTGTGTAGTTGTAGCCACCATCATCCTTGTGAATAACATAATCATTATTTCCTCTATTCTTCCTGCTGTCTCCACAGCTCTGCATCTGGCTGTGATGCAAGGCCGCCTTAACAATGTCAGAGCCCTTCTCACAGAGTCCAACATTGATGCTGAGGCCTTTAATCTCAGGTACTTTCAGTTTTTTCCTAGTCAGACATTACCTTATGATCACATTAATTAAACATTAATGATTCATTTGGGAAATTAGCTCAGTGAAGCAGTAACACTGTAACAAGATGAACTGCAGAAAATGGGATAGAGAGAAAAAAAAACTGGTGCATAATTAATGTAGACAGTGGAAGCTTTTTAAGCATGCCTGAAACGATTAAAACATCTGAACGTTAGAACGTAACTTTCTGTAGACTATAGAGTCAACTTGCGTGTCTCCTTTTCGTCATCTGTCTGCTTAGGGGTCAGTCGCCAATGCACGTACTAGGCCATTATGGGAAAGAGAATGCTGCCGCCATTTTTGAGTTGTTTCTGGAGTGTATGCCTGAATACCCTCTGGACAAACCAGATAATGAAGGGAACACAGGTACTGTAGCTCGCTTAATCATTTTCTGTCGTTAACTACGGTGGCGCTGAGAGCTCAACACACTGCAACTTAAGAAAACATGCAATTACGCAAAACACAAGCAAATTCCCACATTTGTGTATTTGGTTGTGTTGTGAGTATTTGCAGCGCATGTGTTGTCAAATTGAAATTTTGTTTATTTGCATGTGTTTTCTGAAGTTGCAGTGCTTTGAGCTCTCGGGGCCACCGTAGTTAACGGTATACACATACAATATAGCATAATATCAGTAGCACCCTCGAGATAAAATGACTGTAATGCCTGTATTTTATTGCAGTTCTGCTCCTGGCCTACATGAAAGGAAATGCAAACCTGTGCCGTGCCATTGTTAGGGCTGGAGCTCGACTCGGCATCAATAATAATCAGGGCATCAACATTTTCAACTACCAAGTCGCAACCAAACAGTTGCTCTTCCGCCTTCTAGGTAAGTTTTTACGCTTCACTCGCTGTGTGTCAGCGGTTCACTATACCTGTACGTTAAACTGACAGCCCCACATTGAGTGATATGCTCTAATACTGGTTATTTGACCTCCATGGCGATAACTCAGCTGGTCTTTTTACCCTTTTGTTTAGATATGCTGTCCAAAGAGCCCCCTTGGTGTGATGGGTCCAACTGCTATGAATGTGTTGCCAAGTTTGGTGTTACGACAAGGAAACATCACTGGTTAGTACTAAGGCTTTTTTATATGTGTATATTACATAATATTTTTCTGATTTTCACTCATGTTTTCACTTTGTGTCACACTGTATGATTAATCCTGTGTCTCCTCTTTGACTGTTAACTCCAGCCGCCACTGTGGGCGCCTGTTGTGCCACAAGTGCTCTATAAAGGAGATACCCATCATCAAGTTCGACTTGAACAAGCCTGTGAGGGTGTGTGACATCTGCTTTGATGTACTAACTCTGGGTGGGGTATCGTAATGCGTTGGCCTGGATATCCTCCATCCTCTGACACTGGCCATGCCAGGCCCAATTTGGCACAGTAATTCAGGCACACCAGGAGAAGGGACATCAGTAGCAGGACATACTAACAAGAGATTTCCCGGACAGTTATGGACCCCATCGCCTTTATACTATTCCAGTCTATGAAAAACTATTAATGTTCTAGAGGGACGTTTCAAATAGAAAGTGAAACATTGTCTTTTTGTTTCTGTTTTGATCAAAGTATCTTAATGTGGATATAAGCAGCTCTCCAGCTTGGTGACGGCTGGACTGAGTTTGTTAATCAGTTTCCCAAGTTAATTAATGTATGCTTGTCCTGATGAACTCTTATAATCACAAGCAGGTAACTGCAGAACACAGACATGTCAGTTGATAAACATACAAGTGATCAAAACTCTCTTCCTCTTCTCTGTTGGGATATTTCACTGTCAGCAGCCTTCGTGCTACGTGACCTGCCCAAAGACAAAGATTCACTACTACAAAATGAATATGTACATTCATACAAGAGCTGAGGCTGCTTTCAACCAAGAGGAGTAAAAATATAAAATGCCCCCAGATTACTAGATCTGCAAAGACTGAACTATCAGCATGTTCTCTGTAATCTTGCATTATTCACTCTTCTGTCACCCCAATTCTGTATTGACTGGATGAAGTGGGACAGGCAAAGAGGATTTAAAGGGAAAGGAACTAAGTTTGTTTTTTAAACGAGCATCATTTCCAAATGAGGTCTAATCTACTTAGTTATATTCAGAATTATAACATTGACATTGTATTACTTTACCATTAGAGATGATAGATGGCACAAATGGACAAAATGAAATTCATGAAATAAGATTGTGTTTATCTCCACAGTTGGAACATAGTGTGTTATATGAAGCCCTCGGCCAAATTAAAATGGAAATGCAAAATTTTTAACATGACAAGTTGGGAAAATGTGACCTGAGAAAGCCCATTTTATTATGGAAGGAATATAAATGTGTTACCCAAAACAAAACAAAATTCTCTCTGCAATCCTCCTCATCAGTTACAGAAATGCCTATTATGCCTATGCATGTCAATTAATTTGTAGCCTTTACTTGTCATGGTCATAATCAAAAATCATATCTGAAAATCAGTCACCAAATTTTACATTCCATTTTTGACCTGCCAGGAGGTCCGCGTATGAAGTTGTGATCATAGTCCCCATGATGTTGCCTCGTGTCAAGTCGTTGTCTTGACCCATCACATTTAACGCTTCTTGATTTCTAAGCCTAACAGGTGCACTTTATCAAGATCACATGATATTTCCGATCATTGGGGAGAATGTGTTGGGCGGCCAGGTAGTGGGGCCTCTTTAAGTATTGTTAAATTGTACAGATAAATGTGTGATATTTTTGACCACTACAACTGTTTTGTACTTTAATGCAGTTTGTGCTTGTCATTGTGACAAACCTAAATCTTGCCTCTGTTAATCTTTTATGCACATTGTTTAATCTTTTATGCACATTGTATTGTATCTGTATGCTCAGATATCTAGCCTGTCTCTTCCTGGTGTATCCTTTTAGAGAAAGGGAGGACAACTTTACATAAAGGTCATCAAAAATGAATGTGCTGAGATTTCTTCATTCCAACTCTTTATTGCGAATAAGTTAATTGCTGTGATTTACTAGTAGAAATAGTGTTTTCCTGAGTTTTATGCTGGTAAACAGCAGGCCATGAATAGGTCCATTGGTCCAGACTAGTACTCTCCAACATGGCATGAATCAGCATGTGGAGGGCAGGCTTCATATTTCTGCAGGTTGGGGTCTTCCTCTGCTGCAGACGGGTCTTCAACACAGACACAACGAACACCACTGGTTCCTGCAGAGAAGAGCTTCCGCGGGACGCCTGTCCAGTCTCTTACCACTCCACCACTGAAGGGGAAAAAATTAGTCAGTCCTCTAAATCCTGATGTATACCAATAATGCCTGATGGTGCAAGACAAGCTCTATTACAGGTATGCAGTACATCACAACATTGTTATCATATGCCCTGTAGGCTTGTACGTATTTGATTAGGCCGGAACTATTCCATACCTCTTAGTGGAGCACCAGACTCTTCCTCCCCTGGCAGCGCTCCACTCTGAGTTGCAGGCTGGGAAGCGAACCATCTCGGCCTCAGACTGGACCTTGATTCGCTGGCCCTCTGATAGTGATGCTTCCACCTGCAACAAGGCCTCTGTGGGCTGTCCAGTCTCGCTATAGAACCGGCCTATTACCAAACCTGAAATTCAAGATTTTTTTTTTTTTTTTTTTACTGAAGATGATGGATGTCCATTGATAATGAGAATTTATGTGAAACAAGTCAGCAGTTCTTTTTTAAAACATTACACATCCATCAAGGGCTGAGTCAAGACTGCACAGGCAGCAGTTCCACAGATCTAAGATGTTTAGGTTTCCATTTGAAAACCCAACTTGTAACAGATATGGAGAAAAAGAGCAGAGCAAAAATGTATGTATACCTGTCAATCTTTGAAAAACTTTGAAGGTCTTTTACCAACTCTAAAAGTTGAAAGTATCCTCTAAAATGGGATTAAAAAACATTTTGCCTGCTACACAACTGCCTCATTTTTTCGACGCCAAAGTAGCGTAGCTGGAAATAATCTCCCAGCTTGATGTCCAATATAAACAGTATGATCAGTTATACCTTTAAATGTTAGTTTTTTTCCAATATTTTATATTTTCATACAATTAATTAATTGTATTAGGAAATACAGTTGCAACTCCAAATAGGCTTATTTAGGATTAAGGAGGGGTAGTAATGTGTTAAAAATACTGTCAACACCAACGCAGTTATGTATCAAGGTGATAAAACAATATTAATAACGTTTTTTTAAACTGTTACAGAGGGCTGGAGTCTTCAGGGCCCAAACAGAACACTAGTGTTAGGGGCCATAATGTACTACTGTTGAGTAAAATGGTCCAGATATATAGTAGTGGTTGTGTAAAACTTTATAAAATATGCCAACTGTGTAAAAAATATTTAATAATGCTGAACTGAACCAGATCTTACAAGATGCTTGAAAAGGTAACTGCTGACTTTGTTTTTGCAAGAAATGTGTGCACCAAAAATTACATTTAAAATAGCTGGTGGACAAACGTCACATACCTACAGTCTGATAGTCCCTCTGATAGAAGGCCAGCCAATCATATAGGGCCACCACCTGCAGGGGGGAGAGACTGGACACATCATCTGTCAGGCCATTTTCTGTGAAGTCTCCAGTGATGAAGGCCAGTGAGGCATCTCTGCCTGAAAATAAAGACACACACATTATATAGTACAGTACAGCACGAAGCATACTAATGTACAAGTAAGTTGCTCCTATTACAGTGGAAATCTTGTTTCTGATTTAGGGTTTGAGGGTTTGGGATGAAATTCTATGTAAGACAATGTTTAACAGGTGCCCTACAATTAAGCATTAAAATATATAGCTGGTTTATTACTGACAGTTGTAGGAGAAGAGGGGAATCACCTGCCATAAAGTGATAGGCACCACCTGGTCCATAGTGCCTCTGTCCCTTGTGTACATCAAAAACCTGTCCCATGATGGCCAGGTAAAGGCCCTTGCTGCCTTCCTCCCCGTCGTACAGTGATAATTCATGCCTGCTCAGGAGCCGCACAGGGGGCCCCTGGGTTGATTCATTTCCAAATTTTACGTACCAGTCGCGAGGAATGAACAACACTGCCAACGACACAGATAAAAGCGCCACCAAAACATAGCTGAGCATGCTGTTCATTCAAGCCTGTAGGTATTTCGTCCATTGACATCATTTCACACCTTTGTCACTGAGATATATTTACACCGCAGGCGCTTCCGTGAACGGAAACGCCACCGCGCATGTGCAAACTAGAAACGCACAGGACGTTTCAGGCAAGTTGACGTACAGTACGTCAATGCGGTAGTAGTGAACGGCAGACTTCTAGCTGTAGGTGAACATAGGAGAGGTCTGACCGGCACAACCGTCTCAAAACTGACACCCAGTGGGCCGCAGAGATTTTTGGGGGAGCTCTAGGTCGGTGAAACAAACATGGGGAACGCGGAGAGCGGCTGCGGTGGAGGCAGCGGCGACGAGGAAGATATAGAAACGGAGAGCCCCGGCTTCGCGGAAGACAGTCCGGCCTCTGCGGCCACTGGCGGCGGTGTCGGAGGCGGTGGTGGCTCCGGTTCTGGAAGAAGCGGAAGGGGATCGAATAACCTGCCCGTGCCCACGGGTGGACCACCTAGCCCCGGGGTCCTCTTAGAGCAAGTGAAACTGAGAGAAGCGGCGGCCCGGATTAGCGACTCAGGGGTCGCCATTCAGGAGTCTGTCCTGGCCGGGAATGAGGGTGTCCTGGTGCGGTGGCTAGAGGACCGGTTAAACCGAGGGGAAGAGTCTGTCAATGTGGAACAATTTTGTGAGATGTTAGAGAGCAGAGATGCCCCGAGAGATGAATGTGAAGAGGTATAAAGACTAGCAAAGCGTGCCTCTCAGAAGTCACGTGAAATGTCATGATTTGAAATGTGTGTCTCAGGTATCAGGGTAGAGCTGCTGATAGCTGTTGACATGCCCATTTATGATGAGTGATTAGTAAACATGATTGGCTGGTGAGGCCATGGGGGGGGGGGGGGGGGGGGGGGGGGGGGGGGGGGCGGGGGGTGGGGTGTGGGGGGGGGGGGTGGGGGGGGGGGGGGGGGGGGGGGGGGGTGGGGGGGGGTGGGGGGGGGGGGGGGGGGCAGACAGACATGTTATCTCTAATAAACCTAGTTTTTGTGTAATTCTAGAGGGTGGTGCAATGAAACCAGTGAAATGAGCTGTCATTATATCATCATTGTCCCTGGGCATTTTCAGCTTTGGCCTCTTTGAGCGTAACACGCTGCTTTGTGTGCCTGTTGGCTGACATTTGTTGTCTAACCAAATGAATGGGTTAAATAATGAATGTGTACTTTAGTCTGCCTTTGGCTTTGTGTAGCTTGACATGGAATGCCACTGCTGTGCTTTAAAATCCACACACTACACTGCTTCCTTCAAAAGTGAGCGTTCATATTTGTAGAGCTACTACCTGTATTGTTAAAAGATGATTTTTTTTAAACAGGCATACAATATATATACAACTTAATAATAAGCAATAGGGTTAGAGCATAGTGTTGGCCCCATTTGTTTAGAGTTATATCCTTATAGGTTTTAGAGATGATGTGCAGCAATGTAAGTGATCGTGTCAGTATATGAAGTGTCACGATGTACACTGTCTTTGTCGTCTGCTGTCTCAGGCTTTTGGACAATTCGATGCAGAGGGGGATGGGGTGGTGGATGTAGAGAGCATGCTGATTGCTCTGAAGAACTCCAATGGAGCTAATCTACAGGGAGAGCTGAGTCATGTGATAAGACAGCTACAGGCGTGCTCCCTAACCCCAGGTATGAGATGTGATTTGTTTACATGGGTGAACAAGGCCAATCTTATTTGGATAGATATTGTTAACCCTGAAAACCAACATCGCTTCTTGTAATGTCTCTACAGGTTTTGTTGACATATTCTCCAAGACAAAAGACCGGTTAGGAGCACATGCCTCCAAGATCCTGAAATTCTTACACAGGAATCGTATCCCGAGCAGTGCCATCCCTTTCCCTATCTTAGAGGGCTACAATAGCATCTGCACCATGAGGTCCAGTGTGGTCCAGGACTTCTTGGAATTCCTATTGCAGAAGGAGAAAGGTGAACTAGTGGCTAGTGCGGAAGAAGCTGTCTGCCTTTGCTGCGCAACTTTGAGACAGTTGTCCTAATCTGTATTAGTTTCTTTCAGATTTAGATATCCAGTACAGAGCAGAGCTGGACCGTGACCCGGAGGTGGACAAGGTCAAGGTGGTCACACAGTGCTACAGCACAATAGAAGCTTCATCCAATGTTTCTGACATTTACAAGATGACAAATGGAGAAACCACGTCTTTCTGGCAGTCAGACGGCAGCGCACGCTCACACTGGATCAGGTAATATGTTACTCCAAGACTTCACAGCTGATTGTCACGTGTGTTTGATCCTTGATTGATGGAAGTTTTCACCCATGTGTGTACCATCAGTTTTAAGGTGGAAACCCGTCTCTTTTCTGTTTCCCAGATTGAAAATGAAACCAGATGTAGTTTTGAGACGGCTGGCCATTGCTGTGGCTTCTAATGACCACAGCTACATGCCTCAGCTGGTCTCAGTTGCTGTGGGGAAAAACCGGCGTTCCCTGCAGGAGATCAGAGATATCCGCATCCCCAGTAATGTCACAGGATACGTAGCTCTTTTGGAGAATGCCAACATCACACACCCCTGTGAGTCACCACCTGTCAATCATGTCCTCCTAGTTGTGTTCACTAATCTTGGGCTTTTGTGTCCCTTCACTGATGCTTGTACACTAGCTCCCCACCAGTGAAGGCAGAGCGCTGGGTTCATAGATAGATGAGTGGTTAAATGCCTCACTTTTTAATCCTCATACAAGCTGCCATGAGCCGGGGACTGAAGGGATCTAATCCAGGGATTGGTGGCTTTTTTTTTTCTCCAGTTTTAACTCAGGCCTCAGGTTTTAAAGGAGCATCTGTATAGCCAATGAACACATGTCCACCTTATTAGAGGTTGTCTAGCCACATAGAAGCTAGACTAAAACTGGCTTTGCTTGGTTTTTTCAAAGAGACATGAATGAATGAGGATAACATCAAGTGAGAATCAGAGGCAGCTGTGAGCATGAACAGTCAGACAAATATTAGAGAAGTTTCAATGATGGTGACAAATTCAGCAATGTATTTTGAAAGCAGGCCTGTGGCTTGCAGCTCTAACTACAGGCTGAATCAGGCGCAGCTTTGTGTTTTGTTCATGGCAATGCTTTGTCCTGCAAATGATTTGCTAGATTACTGTGAGCAAACTGGAGTTCTTTATTAGTAGAAGTGGGTTAAGGTTAGGGTTTTATTTCTGACTCCCTTCGTCAACATCTATTTTATACCCTTCTCAAGAGGATGAAATAACTTACGGTGGCGCCTTTGAATGATATATTCCATCAGTCTGCTAACCGCATTATCTCCTCACCAAACCCCAGACATCCAAATCAACATTAAGCGGTGCCTGAGTGACGGATGTGACACACGGATTCATGGCTTGAAGACTCTTGGCTATCAGATTACCAAGAGTAAAGAGGTGTCTGTTTCGGATGCTTCAGCCATCTGGTACCTGTCTCTCCTCACCTCCTTGGTCACTGCCTCCATGGAGACTAACCCTGCACTGGCTCAGACTGTCCTTCACAGCACACAGTAAGACAAACTACTCATCCTTTTGCATGTTTGCAAGAGTGCAACAATCTTTGTAAGTGATTAATATAATGTTTCAGTTCTTATTGTATGAGTCAAGTGTAGTGATATGTCCAGTCAGTGTTTTTTATTTTTTTTGTGTGTGTGTGTGTGTGTGTGTGTGTGTTCTCCTCCTAGAAAAGCCTTACGGCACATGCCGCCGTTGTCCCTCACGCCGTCATCCACAGAGTTCCCCAAGTTCTTCTCCCTGAACATCCTGGAGGAGGTGGATGGATTTCTGCTCAGGATAGCAGAGTAATGACCTGCATACTCACCCATCACTGCCACACTGGGCTCATAATGCTGACATCATCGCAATGGAATCAGACTCAAATCAAAGTATTGATCGTGTGGGGCGATGACACATTCTTAGCGTTCCATTTAATGTACTATAAATCCTTCTGTCGGTGTTCAGGGTCTTTGTCAACAACAGCAGCAGCAACACGACAGAAATGATCTTACCAGTCAGTTTTCAAATTCAAGTTTTCAATCAACACAACAAACATTTTTCTTATGAGAGCTTAAGCTTTAGGTCGTTAAATTTCAAACATCCAAATTGTTGCTGTGGATATAGTTTGTTTAAACATTATTTGGACCAAATGTAGCCATCATTTTGCAGATATACTGTATTTAATATTGCCCCCAGAGTCAGCTGGTGGTGTCAGACCTTTGAGTTAGACACAGGAGTCGGTTATGGATTTATTTGATGGATATTGATGGAAATAAATATATGAATATATACTTAGCTGGCCAAAATACTTCAAAATTATTATTTAATATGTCCTAATGCCGCCCCAAGATAACTTATGTTTGTTTCTTTTCTCCTACGTAGCTGCTGTGTGAGTCCTGATGCAGAACTGACGCTCCTGGCCTTCGCTCTGGCCAGAGGCAGCGTCGCCAAAGTGCTCCAGGCCCTGTCCTGCATCAGCGATCATTTAGAGACAGCATACAAGGCCTCCTCCCTCATCGTGTCCATGGCCTCCGTTAGGCTGCGACTACTCTATCGCAATGGTAACGTGACCAACCCTCCGTTACTCACATGAGGACATTTGAAACCATAGACCCAGGAGAAAGTGCTGATGCATTAGTAAACTGCTAATTCTGTTACAAAGCCGCACTTCAGTGTGGTAATTGTAGCCATGCAGTATAAGACTGAAATTAGAACCAGTATGGAGAATGATCAAGTGATTAACAACGTTGTCACAGAAAATAAACTGTTATAATGATTGATGTTGCAGGGAAGCCCCTCCAGCTGCACCTACAGGCCTGTGATGTAAAGAGTAAAGAGGAGAAGTCAGGACCAGAGAACATGCTCACAGAATCTTCCACTGGAGACGGTACAGCTGAGATCAATCACAATTCATCTTTAGTTTAAGTACAGTATGAACATGCCCCCCCCCCCTAAGTACGACTGAATGTCTGTCCCTCCTCAGGTTTTCTCACAGAGAGTGGCAGGAAGAAAGCCAGTGTGATCCTGTCGACAGAGGACCAGAGCAACTTCCAGGTCACTCAGATGAAAATCAAAGTGAGGCTCCCTGTGATTTCGTAGAGTCTGTGATAACTTTGACAGTCACAGAGAATTACTGTACACAACCTTTGCTCTCTGATCTGTTTGATAAGGTACGAAAAGGAGCCATTGGAGCGAAATGCGGCTTGGTGTTTGCTTACAAAGAAGAAGACCCCTTTGATGCAGAGAAACATTTCAAGAGGTTCAAGAAGTATGACACATGGGACTACAAGGACTACAAAGAGTTTGTACAAGACAAGTAAGGATCCATCAGTAACTGTTTTATTCCTTATATTTTAGTTTATTGTGCTTTTGTGTTTATCATCCAAATATCTTTTGTAAATTTACATGTTGACAAACCTTTAATAAGAGAAGACAACTATGGTTAGCAAAGGAGTACTGAAGAGTTCATGTGGCTAAATATGTTTTGCTGTAGCTCTTCAGTGAACCCTCCAGTATAATAAGATTGCAGTAGACAGTAGTTTCCCTGTGTTTTGGATGATACCCATCAGCAGTGTGGGGGTCTGCCTTAGTGGTTTATGTGAATGGCTGACACACCACTCTGTCACCTGACCTGCAGTGTGAGGATTCCAGCGCAGTCTGAGGACGAGCCGATTGGCTGGTTTGAGCTGGAGGAGGACTGGAACGACGTGGAGATCAAGCTGCAGCAGTGTCGAGTTGCAAAGGTACATGCTGCATCCAGTGAAAACTAAGATACGATTTTACTTAGTCCTCTTTAATCATTTGAACCTCATTATTTAACATTTGTGTTTTGTATCCGACCCCTCAAGCAGTTGTGCATTAAAAGAGAAGATTGATAAGATGATATTTAATCATTTTCTTTAAGTTAACGAAACCCATGAAAAAAACAAAAGCACCAATGAACTGATTGTACCAGCAGATATTATCTGTGTATCCAAAACATGACACAGTAAATCTTATCAGTGAGCCACACAGCTGCACAGCGTGGCATGTTACATCATTACAATAAACATGAGCACTGCAGTTTGTCTTGAGTCAGTCCCACAACACAGGGCATGCCATCGTAAATACTCACAAGAGCATTAAATGCGTATTGATTCACAGCTCATAATACTACTACTACTATTTATACTATTTCCTACTGTTTGAGTAATGTTTGCTTAGGAAATGATTTAATTCCTTTAGGAAATGAAAGCATACATTTGGGAACAGTTCTTAAGGAATCCTTCTCCAGTAGAAACCTCCTGTTTCCTTGTCTTCGCAGTTCCTGATGGTGAAATTCCTCTGCGCCAGGCAGGACTCTGCTGAGCGCCTTGGTGTGCAGTCCATCACCTTCAGTGGCTACCTGTGCCCCGGGGCAGAGAGGCTGGGAGACCTGGATGACCTGAGTCCAGAGGGAGAGAGGGTCGACCGCGATGCTGTCACTGGCCTTTGTCTTCTTAACAAGACTCTATTCTTCATTCAGCAGCTTACACGAGACATGGTAACTACCGATCACTGCTTGAAGGTAGAACGGGATGTACAACATTCAAATATCAGTAATATTAGTAGTAAAGTAGATTTGTATGATTACCAGTAAATGCCACAATTCTGCAGCTGTGGTTACACTACATGATATACTCTGTGCCGCCATGTTATATTTGTGGGAAATTTGCTGAACTGCTTCACGGCACCACACAGCACAAGACCAGAGGACCAGTGGGAAATATCTTCCAGCATTATTTCCTTCTCCCTCTTTACACACACTCACATCAAACAACAGCAGCAAGTAAAATGGAGATCTATGAGAATCGTCACCTAACTTACCAACGGCCTGAGATGGTATCTTGTCTATCGTCTTGTGTCGTACCAAAGTAGTACATTTGATTAATACATTTCAGAACTAACTCACCTGCAGCTGTACGTGTTTGTCTTGCTTTCACTATATTCATCAGTTTATTAGTGATGAGTCATGATCTGCTCACTTATCTAGATTTTACTCATTTCCTGTTATTCACTGTTGAAGTGAGATATGTGCGTGTATATATACCTTCATGCTATGTTTTGTAAGTGAAGTGATGTTTTTTGTATATATGTCCTCATCTTTCCTTAATTGTATGTATCCTATATCTGGAGAGGCTGCCCCCTGCTGACCCCAAGAATGTATTAGAAAGGGATGGACCAAGTGAACACTGATTTAGACCGGTTGACTCTGATTGCTGAATGTTTACACCCGTTGATGGAAGGCTGAACGCGTCAAAGTGAATGTTTTTAATGATGTTCTACCTCATAGAACTTGCCAGCTCACTAAAGGCATTTTAAACCTTTTTCTAAAGACGAGTGCCTTGGTTTTTCTAGACCTGTTCATTCCCACCCACCGTCTTTGTTTGCACTAACACATGTTTCAAGAAGCTCTCCAGTCCCATGATTTTTTTTTTTTTTTATCTCCTTTGCAGTATTGCTGAACGTCTGTGCTGCTGAATGTTTCCTGTCTTATTGTTGAACACTGTCACACAGTTGTCTTTCTGTTTCTGTAGGACGCCTCTCACTTCAAGCAGAAGTACCTCCTGGACTTCGGTGGTCTCAGCCTCAGCCTCTTCTGGAACTTCTACAGTAAACTCAGGGAGATGTGAGTGATAATACTGTGTGTGCACACGCGCATCGCAGCAGTAATTACTATTTGGAGTGATCAGGCCCAGAACACATATTAAGGGCTCATCTGTAATCAAGCGTATGTCTTTGTCTCAGTGAGGGAGAGGAGGTGCTGAAGAGCAGAGTTCTGCTGCTCCAGTTGATGCAGAACTGTTTCCCCATGCTGCCCAACCCACTGGAGTCCCAGGGCCCAGAGGAGAGCAGAGGGCCAGACGAGGGAGCCACAGCGGCGGCGTGTGCGTCCACGTCCAGCGGCGGAGAGCCTCTGAATGACTCTGTTAGGGCTGTGTGGGAACTCTACACTCACCTCTGCCACAGTAAGAACCTGTCAGCTTTCAGTCAACTGGGGAGTAGTTAAAAGTATTTGGTTAAAAGGTTAAATGTCTCTCTGGAGACTCAGTGGACAGTAGCAGCTTGTCACGATTGATTTCTTGGAAATCTATGTGATGATAATCTTTCTTTGTGTTTGTGTTTTAGTTGTGGACGGTCCAGAGGGGGAAACATTAGTGGAAAAAGCTTTGCACAAGGAAGCAGTGAAGGCCATTCTTAACGGAGCTGCTGTTTTCTTCCCTGATAAACACGTCAGACGGGACAAACTCTTCCACATGATGGTGAGTTTCTAAAAACAACAATAAGGATAATAATTACTACAATGTAATAATAAAATGATGATGATGATGATGATGATATAATAATATCCTTTTTACAGAAAAATATCACAGAAGAGGATCAGCCAGAGTCAGTAAAGGTGACATTTGAATCACTTTGTAATTACTTCAGGTAAGCATACTGTAGATGAATACACACACCATCATATTCACACCCACACCTGGATCACAGTGGATCAGTAACAGCTGTGTTCCTCTACGCAGTGACCAGGATCCAAGTGGCCTTCTCCTGCTCCCACCTAAAGGAGCTCCCTCAGACTTTGACATCAGCCCCATACTGTCAGTCATGGAGACGCTTCTGCTGGTGGCAACGCGAGAGGTGAGACCTCTGTCACACACACACACACACACAATGTCTCAACTGTTCCATCATGTTGGTTACCATCTACCACCAGCCCTCTCTGCGTCTTCATGTCTCAACGTGAAATCCCACGTTTCTATCTGCTTTTCTAATGTTGCTCCTTGTTCGACGTGTCTCCCATCTCTCAGTGTGAAGTCATGATGGTGAATGAGAGTAGTGGAGCCAGCAGGACGGTGTTGCTGTCCTTGTTCTGGGCACTGCAGGGTAGTCTGGTCTCCTGGTGCTACCTGCAGCTCAAAGGAGGAGCTTCCACAGCTGTTGCTATGGAGCTGGCAAGAGACATCCTACTAAAATGTGAGATACAGTGACAGTGTTGCATTGCTGATGTTCTTACAGCTCCCTATTTTTCAGGGTTAGATTCTGTGTTTACATTTGGACAGTATGTAAACAGCAAGAGCACACAGCCTGATGACGATCAGTCAAGTGTGATCCATCAGATTTGAGTTGAATTTTCTGGATAACATTCATCGTACAATGGAGAAGAACTAATGCAGAATGGTTTATTTCTTGCTCTCTCAATAGATGTGGATCAGTTCTTGGGAAGCATCAAGACCATCCTTGGTTCCCTGCTGGAGAGATACACAAGTGCTGAAATCACTGACAAACTAGGCAGCTCCATCATAGCCACAGTCTTCAGACAACTGGTAATACACTCACAGCTCCTGGTTTGGCACTATTTTAGAGTTGACTGTGCTGAATGAATGTGAATAACATGTGTTCTGGTCCTGGCAGATGATTTTCCTCCTGGAGCTGTGCTCCTTGGACATCCCTCACAGTGTGCTGCTGAGGAGCTTCTCCTCTCTGGTCGAGCTACTCAAGAGCCTATCCAGTGACACTGGAGACATCTTCTCCAAGGTCAGTCTGCTCTGACCTTAGACCTGAATGCACCTGACTTTATACCACCTTCCCATCCCACTGTTTGAGTATGAGTGGAAAGGTCAAGTTGCAGACCAGTATTCAGGGCTTGGAGGGTTGTGAAGTACAGCAGCGCTACTGTAACCAGCTGTGGTAGAAGTACTCAGATCCTTTTACTAAGTAAAATACTGCAATATACAAGTACTCCATTACAAATAAAAGTCCTGCATTAAACGTAGAACTTAGGTAAATGGTGTTATTACTAGCAAGCTGTACTTAAAATATCAAAAGTAGCAGAAATGACCTAACAATGATAATTAGAGCCACAGAGTTACATGTAGAGTGCGGTCCAACAGTCTGAGAACACTTTTCCATTCACTTGAATAGTAAAATGGTCTCAGACTTTAGGACTCCTCTGTATATAGGATATTGGAGATTCTAGGTATTATTATTACTAATGTATTAATGTTTAACTAGCATTGTACTGTTTTTTTTCGGTAGAAGTTGTTACCTAATTTGAAATATTTCACTTAGGGCTGAGTAGGTTAATCTATTCGCATCGTGTTTTATAAACGCATCATTTGTTTTGAATGTAAAATCTTTATCAACAAAGTAACATGTAACTGTAGCTGTCAAATGGTGTGGAAAGTAGCATAACACGGAAACACAGTAAAGTACATTAACTTTAAGTGAAGTACTTGAGAAAATAAACTTAGTTGCTTTCTACCACTAATAACAAATATTGACGACACACCACGTCACTGTTAGGTGGATCAGGAGAGCTGGCACCAGCCCCAGCAGCCAGTGGTGCTGAGGACCTGGAACATGGAGTCCCCTCACAACTACGAGAACAGCCGCCACGAGACCAGCATCTTTGCCTGTCCTGGTGCTACCTCCTTTGAGGTGGAGTTTGACGAACGCTGTGAGACAGAGAAGAGGTGACCAATGTAAAATATTCAAATGTATTTATTTATTTTTTTATCCCCAGTGAGGATTTTACTTACCTATCCTATACTGTACCCTACCCTACCCTATACTCTTTTATTCACAGATACGACTACCTAGAATTCACAGATTCGAGAGGTGGCAAGGTCCGCTATGATATGAAAGTTGGAACAGAGAAGTGGCCAAAGGTAGGACAATGAAAACCACTGAATTATCTCATGAAACACTCATGTTGCTTGATTCCTTTACACCTACCTGTTGTTTCTCTTTGCTCCTTCAGAAAGTGACATTTGACGCTGGCCCTCAGCTCCAGTTCCTCTTCCATTCGGATAGCAGTAATAACGAGTGGGGTTACAAGTTCACTGTGACGGCCCTGGGTCTGCCAGATATCACCATTTCTTGGATGTCGGACTTGCAGCTGCTGGTGGCTCGTCTGATGGGTCGTCTTGCATCTAGAACTCTGGCACTGAAATCCCCTCATGGTAAAACTGTTTTCCTGCAACAAGGCTCACAGGAGCGGATCCTGCGAAATCAGGAAATTGTTAAACATTTTTTAGCATTTATTAATTTCAGATCACTTCAGAATTATATTTTACTCAAGCACTTTTTAGACCCTCAATGACAGATTGAAGAGCTGAGATTTGTGGGGTTGCTGTCTGTTTCAGAGACACGCACAGTAAAGGAGCTTTCATCTGGGAAAATGTCCCATATTCAGTCATCTCCTTTATGGAAACCCATCCTGCGACACGGGCTGTGTGAAACAAGGGAGACAAATCAGACTAAAACACCCACAGACCAGGTATGAGCAAGTCTGCATAATCCAGTTACCTTTCCAATAATGACATTATTGCATTGCATAAATGCATAGATGTTGCTCCACTGCCATGCTGTTTCTCTGTGTGGTAGGCGAATACATGGTCTCTGGATGAGTTAATGAGCTTCCTGGAGGACTTTGCCCGTTGGAACCCCTCACAGGAGCTGACGGACAGTAGAACAGAGCTGATGAGGAAACTCATGCAGTCCTGCAGAAAGCAGACAATGAGGAACGAGATAGCCGCCGGGTCAAAGGCAGACCAAGCTGTGAATGCTATCTGGGCAGCCATGGTGTACCACACACCAGCCCTCAGCCATGCCCTGAAGACCTACGGTAATGCTTGGCTATAATCAGTGGTCACAGAGCAAAAGCTGTTCTTAACATGGTAATTGCGCATGTTCGATGAACTCGGTTGACTCACTCGGTTGATTTTTCTCCCTTCTGTCTTGTCTTCAAATGAGTAGTTAATCAGGACTGCAAATCCTGTCTCAGTGAAGAGTTTGTGCAGGTGTACTCGCTGGCAGACAGCATCAGAACGTGGATGGTGAGTGACAGGACTCGGATTTCTGCGGATTATCTGCTGCTGAATTCAAACATGGTCATGTTACAGGACTATTACGCTGATGACGTTTTTCTTCCTGTCAGCTGGAGATGAAGCAGAGATACCTTGTTGGCAAAATGAATGTTCCAGACGAGAAAGAAGGCGTTCCTGATGAGGTTACTATGGAGACATTAGGTGAGGACTCCAGGAAATGTAAAGCCAAATCCCACCTTTTTATCACCGTCTCTGTTATATCCTGATTATTATTTTTTGCTGACTTCTGTTATGTTGTGTCTCTCTAGCTGAGATGTGTATCGAGAAGAGCCTCTTGCTGTTCAGATTTGCCCCTTGTGGAGTAACATCCCAGGACAATGACTCTCTCAAAGCTGCAGAGGGCAGCAGTGCTCTACTCCTCCGTTCAAGTTCCATCTCAGAAGGGGACTTCCAGGCCAGCCCCTCTCCGGGACCTCAGGCTGCAGGGGCTGAGGAGGCAGGACGGAGCAAGTCCCCCGGTGCTCAAGCCCAAAACTCATCTTCTTGTGGTCCCAGCAGGCGAGGCCACAGAGGCTCCACAGAGAGCCTCTCATCCCAGCCAGGGGAGCCCGCCTCACCCTCTGCCTTCCCCCGTAAACCCCCATTCAGTCGAGCACGCCTGCGCCTTCTGTCCTGTCGATCTATAGAAGAGCCACGCATGACCCCCTCTGTCAAGGATCGCTACCCGATACTCAAACACATCCTAAACTTTATAAGGGACCAGGCTCTAACAACAGCAAGGTTACTGACCTCCGGTCTTCTATTTTACATTTTTCGTTTTGTGTAATTTGTACCATACAGAGTTAAGTAATCAGACTCTTCTTCCTTTAGCATTCTGCAGAGCCTGTCCCTAAACAAAGCCCAGGCTCTGAGCGTGTGCAAGGTCCTGGAGATGGTTCAGCAGTGTTTGCATTCCCTGGGAAAGCCACACCTCTTCCAAGCCCCCTGCATCCTGTTCCTACAAGAGCTGCTGGCATGCCAGAAAGACTTCACCAGGTACATCTGTATAAAATCTTTTCAGCTCAAGTGCAACTACAGCCACTTTTACATAGTGTGTGGTAATACTTCAGTCAAGCAGAGCTGAGTAAATATTTCTGATTTTGAACAATGTTGTCCCAAAGTGTAGAATTCTGAAATACCAGTATAAACTGGTCTATGAGATGCTAAAAAAGAGTGGGATCATAGTGATACTAGATTGACCTTCAATATTGAAGACAATATTAGAGCTGCCAAATGTATGTCTCTTTGGAGATTGTTAGTATTCACCAATCAGTTTGATAGTGAACAGCAGGTACATGTTGACAAAGAAATTACTTTTGTGCAGACAAACAGCTGTGCAGTCATATTTCACTCAAGATTTTCTTTGTCTTTTTCAGTTATTTCTCTCAGTTGTCGGACAGCGGGCAGAAGCTTGGAGGGGAGGTGAGGCGTTCCTACCATCACTTGGTGCTCATGCTTGTGGAGGCAGTGCACGGCTTCAGCAGCCTCACCGAGAAGTAAGCTCTTATCCTTGCGACCCAGCACGTTCACTCTTAACTAGATGCACAGAAATTAAAAAGCCCTTGCAGCAGTGATCAGTATAATTCCAAGTGTGTGTGCAGTGGTGTAACCCGACCCTCATCACTGCTCTCCAGAGCCCTGCTACCGGCCCTGTCGTGCGTGCAGACCTGCTTGTTGCACCTTCTAGACATGAGCTGGGAGGTACACGACCTCCCTCTCTTCCTGAATATCAAGCTTCCTGACCTGCTGCTCAGCATGTCCCAGGAGAACATCAGTGTTCATGACATCGCCATCAGGTAATATCAGAGCCACCAGAAGATAAGGCACAGCACAGTGGAAATGATTTTTTTTTTTTCCTATTGATAATATGTCTATTATACAGGTTTTTACATTGTTTACGAGATGCTAAATATTTTCCCAGTCACTTAGATTGCAGAGATGATTGATTCAGTCTGTGGTTTGAATTCATCTTCAGTCAATGGACAGAGGAAGATGAAATCGCAGACTACAAGAAGAACCAGGAGTGGATGGATGAGTGTATGGACGGGATGTTTGAGAAGTGGTATGACAAAATCGAGGAGGAGGACTCCATGGAGGACAGGAGAAAGGTGCCGTATATCACAGTGCATAAAAGATATAAAAGTGCATTAGCAAACAAGGACATTTGTTTTTTTGTCAGAGCTGTGCAGGGAAACAAATGGCTCTCACTGTTTAACCTGACTGGTCCCAAGTGCTTCTCTGCTCTCTGTTTTCTTCCCTGTGCATCTCAGTAATAGAGCAGATGTAGTCCTGCAGGTAATGCATTTAAAGACAACCTGCAACTTAACATGCCATTTAAAAACAGGTGTTGTAATATCTACGGATACGTCTTAACATGTGTCATCAAGGTCATAACAAGGCTAACGAGTATACAGCCATGGTAGTGGCTCTGTGAGGCTGTACCTTAGGCACGGCGATTCTTTGAGGTACCATGCTAGTATTAACAGGCTCATGATGACAACGCTAATATGCTGATGTTTAGCTGGTATAATGCTCACCATCTTACAAGTGTTTAAATGTATCGTCTGTCTGTTTAACAAGACAAACCCACACACGTACACACAGTAATGGTTAAGACTGAGGGAGATACTGTAATATCTATTTCCTGTCATTATACGACCCAATTCAAAATCCAAAAACCCTCTGACTTTAATTCTGTTTGTGTGATGGAAGTTCAGCAAGCTGTAGGTAAGAAAATATTGAGCTAGGATCTGTGTAAAGGTTTTCTCAGCATAGGGAGGACAGGTTGATCATAATGCTGTGTAAAAAATTGACCTGGTCCTATCCACAGATGCACATGTTCATTGCACGCTACTGTGACCTGCTCAATGTTGTCATCTCCTGCGACGGCTGCGAGAGGATGGCACCTTGGCACCGCTACCGATGTCTGCAGTGCATGGACATGGACCTTTGCAAGACGTGCTTCCTCAGTGAGTCACACACGCCACTTCGCTACTCATACAGTCACACAGGAGTATCTGTTAGGGTTTAGACAAACACAGTAACTGCAGTCATCATAAGTTTGATAAAAAGCTAACTGTGGATGTGTGTGTTTTTAACTAGGTGGAGCCAAGCCTGAAGGCCATGAGGACGACCATGAGATGGTGAACATGGAGTACGCCTGCGACCACTGCCAAGGGCTCATTGTCGGCAGCAGGATCAACTGCAACGTGTGTGAAGACTTCGACCTGTGCTTTGGTTGCTACAATGCTAAGAAATATCCCGACAGGTGAAGTTTAATCTCATGCTGTTGAAACACAGTTATTTTTTTGCAGGGATTTGCCTCACAGTTGTAAACTCAATTATTTATTTTAAATTCCCATCTCCAGCCATCTGCCCACCCATCGGATCACGGTGTACCCCATGGTGACCATACGAATCAGCGACCGTCACCGCTTGATCCAGCCCTACATCCACAACTACTCCTGGCTGCTGTTTGCCGCCTTGGCGCTGTACACATCAGAACTGAGCAGTGAGAAGCAGATGGAGGGAGAGTCGCTGGACAGCAACACCCTGAGCCAGGCCTTAGGCCTGCAGACTCGCTGCTCCCAACTCATCACCGATTGCTTGCTCAAGGGGCAGACTGGAAAAGGTAAATCCAAACCAGAATTTTGTTTTAAAATTCAACATTTTGGGAAACATGCTTATTTGCTTTCTTGCCAAGAGCTTGATGAGAAGAATCCACCCTCATGTCTCTATGCTAAAGTATGAAGCTAGACGAAGCAGGCTGTCGGTTTAACAAAATTAAAATGGCTTTAAACAAAGTGTAAAAAATAAAGCAATAATATGGGTGGACTGTCCTAGCTGGGAGCAGTGACTTCTACCAGTCACCTGGAAACCTTACACCAGTGACTAGAGTGGTTTTGATCTTCTTTCTTGTATCCATCCATTTTCACATAGTTTCACAACAGTTCAGTTTTTTTCAAACTGGAGTTGTTGAATCTGGGTGTCTCATTGTTAATCCATTTGTCACATTCAGATTCTTCAAACCTGTATTTTTCTTTATGTTTTTATCCTTTTGTGGCAAACCCTTCTATGCCATTCAACATGTAGGTCTGCGTTCCTCAGCTTTGCTCGCTCTGCTGTCCTCCAATGAGTCGGCTTCTGATAGTGAGCTGTGTCCAGTCTCTCCAGAGTCTTCTCAGGAGCTCAGTACAGCCACTGACACCTCCTCTCTCCCCGGCAGCACCGCAGCGATCTGCTCCCCATCATCTCCCAGGGACAAGGTGAGGAACAGGAGTCATGTTAAGTCATGGAGACTGTTTGATCTTTGTATGGGGCGTGGATAACAACAAACAACAACAAATAGAGCAGATGTTTGTACCATACACATCTATAAATGAGTTCAGTGAAAGAGAGGTGTGTAAGTGTGGATCAGAAGGTCAGAATATTACATTCACAGAAAAATATGTGTTTTATCTGATGTACAAACCCACTTAGAGACATAGCCATGTACTTACAGTTGTATGCATTTCTTGCGTCCCTGGGCAAATGTCACACTTTGTTGATTCTTGAAGAAGGAGAAGAAGAAGTAAATAAGACCCCTGCAGCAAACAGACATTCAAATGCATTCAAATGTTAACGCACTGTAACTATTTATTTCATGAAGTTAGAAAAATAAACGTTCATCAATAATTCATCACCAGCATGTTCAAAAAGTATGGACACCCTACTTAGTCAGTACTTAGTAAACCCACCCTTTGGGGAATCTCACAGCTTGCAGATGGTGTTTGTAGCAGCTAAGACTCATTCTGGTCTTTATTTAGGAACTTTCAGCCACTCGTCCTGCAGATCACTTCAGGTTCTGAGATTCAGGTTCTGTCTTTCACACACAGCATGTTAAAGATCTACCCGCAGAGTTTCAGTGATGTTGAACTCAGCGGGACTGTGAGGGTTCTTCCTATAGATTCAGTGGTTCATGGTGGATTAAGAGGTCTGCTTTGGATTATTGTCTTGTTGCAGAAGCCGGTCTCTGTTCACTTTTAGTTTCTTGACTGACTGCAGGACATTTTCTCATATTTTGTGGAATCCATTCTTCACTTTATCTGTGCAAAGTGCTTTGTTGTGATGAGGTCGCAGGTTTGGTTTCCTTCTCGTGACTCTTCCATGTAGACCCTGTGCTGTTTGTGCAGTCATGTGGAGGTTTTGTTTTGCCTTTCTGCCCTGCAGACACGCAGTTTTATCTTACTGTTTTCTCGGTCTTCCAGATCTTGTCTTGACTTGCACAGTTCCCCTTAACTGCTGTCTCTTAACAAAATTTCTGACAGTGGAAATTTCAGTGGAAGTGTTTTGTTATCATTTTATTGCCTCTCCTGCTGTAAGCATCAGTTAGCTTAATGTTTAGATCCTCAGTGCGTTGCTTACAGGAGCCCAAGGTTACCATAACGTTTGAAGAGTCCCTAATGACATTTCTTGACCTGCTTTACAAGTCCTAATGAGTCAATTAAAGAGTGTATTACAAGTGGAAGAGTGCCCAAACCTTTTCAGAGGCCAAAATTACAGGGGGGTTTTCAGTTTCTGACTTCATGAAAAAAGGACCAACACATTTTAATGTGTGTTTGCTGCAGGGTTTGTATTTACTTCTTTTCACTTCAGAAAACAACAAAATATGTCATTTGCCCAGGGGAGCCCAAACTTGATCAACTTTATACAACTGTATTAAGTCTATAATGTAGGAAAGACAGTCGATAGTATTTTAACGGGAGTTAACACTATTGGACTGCCACTACTGAATTGTCATTATCTTCTCACTTACAGAGAAAACCATCAGGTAAGGAGAAGAAGGCAAAGGAGGTGGGGTCTCCTCCTCCAGAGGTGTTGTCCCCTCCGAGTATTGGAGAAGGAGAGAAAAAGAAGCTGGTCACTCAAGACACCCTGGATTCTCCAAGTCTCAGCCAGACACCGTCTGTGTCCAGTGAGGACCCCCTCTCTCCTGTGGTTCGACGTAAGTACTGAGATAACTAATCCGATTACCAGAAGGATTCTGTCCTCCAGTGGTTACTGTCCCTTAGCTGACTGGGTTAACCTTATATTTTTTAATCCCTCATTATTTTTTATCTCAGCTTCAGAATCTGGACCAGGGACAGTCAACTCCCCGTCGGACGTTGTTAAGGAGACAGATGAGAGGTTGCCTCAGGTCCCCCTGCAGGAGCATGTGTTTTCAGAGTGCTCCAGAGAGAGGATCCTGGGACTATTAGCAGCCATGATGCCGCCAGCAAAACCAGTATGTCAAACCAGTTTTTATGGTTGAGACTCTACGTTTCTTAGGAAATATGCTTATTTGCTTTTATGCTGAGAGAGAAGGTAAACATGGCTGACATTCGTACGTTGAATATGGAGCTAGCTAGCAGCCAGTTAGCTTAGCATCAAGACTGTAAACAGAGGAAAACAGAAAAAGACAGGTTCTGTCAACAGGTAACAAAATCTGCCTACCAGCACCTCTATTTGTTAATCTGTACAAAAATCAAAGTCCTAAAACAAAAGTTTGATTGTTAGTTTTATGAGGGGGTTATTTGCCATATTGTTTCTTGGCTGGACACACTGGCTTTCCTATGGTCTTATCTTGGGGTGGCCAAGGGTCAACCAGCAGAGACTCCAGGAAGTCAGTGCTCCTGTCCAAGAAATAATCCTGCACTTAACCCTCCATAAAACCTATCCGGCTGCTGGCTGTAGCTTCATATTTAATGAACAAAATATGAGAGTGGCATTGATCTTCTCATATAACTCCCAGCAAGAAACCGTATTTCCCCAAAGTGTCACACTATTCCTTTAAGGTCTGACTTTAGGGAATTATTATAAATATGGATTAAATAAATACACCAAAATCTACTATCACTTAAAGTTAAAACACTGGATTATTTTGTACCCAACATACACCTTTGTTCATGAAATGTTCAATATTGACAAAATTGTACCAATATAGACTTTTTAAAAATGTATCTGCAAATATCATTTACACCGTGGTGTTTGTCTCCTCAGGGCTGCACTCTGTCTCTGCCCAGTCTGAGCTCCATCCTGCCCCAGCTTTTCAGGGCAGTCATTTCCAACGCTGGCTCTCTCAACGAGACCTACCACCTCACCCTGGGACTACTGGGTCAGCTGCTTCTCCAAATCCCTCCGATGGAGGCCGACGCTGCCGTCACAGAAGCCCTGGCTGATAAATATGAGCTGCTGACACAAGGAGAGGCAGCCACTTCCGACACAGAGGGTTGGAGGACCACTCAGCTGCTTTTCAGCCTAGGAGCCGTCTGTTTGGACAGGTAAAACAAAGGAAACCTGATGATATCAGGGATTTTTTTAAATTTTTTTATAGATTTATTTTCTTGAAGGCACGGCTGCAGTTATTAATACTGTGAGGGCAGGTCTTCACTTGTTTGCAGCTACATGGTTTTTAGCCAGATCTGAGCAGCTGTCTGAGATATTTTCCTACTTGACTGAAAAAATGAAAATAGAATTACTTACATGTTCAAACCTGTTTTTAATTTATGAATTGGGTCCACATAGTTTGCTTTATCATTGGCAACATTGTGGAAACAACTATGTAGTTTTTACTTTGTACAATCACACAAATAAAAGTTAACAATTTGATCTTAGGCTGCATGTGCTCCGTCTTAAATAATATGTATATATTTGTATAATTAAAATGTTAAACTTTCCTCTGGTGAGCCAGTGTTTGTTTCATTTCCATCATTACATATTATCTTCATTAACACCATATTGTAAGAATTAATATATTTACAGATGTAGAACTGGCACCAATCTCTCTTTACCACACATCATAGATCTTATTTGCCAGGAAGGTGTTTTTCCGAGATGTTTGTGCAGATGTGAGAAGTCTCTTCCTTTCTTGTGCAGTCGTATCGGTCTGGATTGGGCGTGCACGGTTGCAGATATTTTACACAGTCTGAATGCTTGTCCTGAGTGGAGCACAGTCATCGCTGCCTTCACTGACCACTGCATTCAGCAGCTGCCACAAACTCTCAAACGCACCAACCTCTTCACCCTGCTGGTGCTGGTGGGCTTCCCTGAGGTAGGTAGAATACATACTGCCGCACAGAGTTGTCCACTGTTTCCTGTCTGTTTTAACCCAGTTGTGACTCCTGTGTGTGTCTGTCAGGTGCTGTGCGTGGGCACCCAGACGGTGTTTATCGACAACGCCAATGAGCAGCACAACATGATCTTGCTCAAACACTTCACAGAAAAGAACCATGCTGCAGTGGTGGACGTGAAGACACGCAAGAGGAAAACAGGTGAGTGCAGTAGTAGCTCTACCAACCACATTGCTAGTGTTGAGAAATAAAACTTGGCGCATTAACCGTGTGTGTGCTTTTCCTTCTCTCACAGTGAAGGACTACCAACTCATACAGTCTCAGGATTCGACTACCACCAGCCTCCCAGGGCAGTCAGAGAGCCAGGGATCCTCAAGGACGCTGCTCAGCCGCTACCTGAGCAATTTCACCTCTATCATCAGCCACCTGCTGCAGACCACCCAGGACAATGGCTCTCCTGATGCTGTGGAGGCGTCCTGGGTCCTGTCCTTGGCCCTTAAAGGCCTCTACAACACACTCAAGGTACCTGCCCCAGCCTGCAATAGTGCAGCGGTAATGTATTTCATCCCCACTCCAAAATCGGACACGTTGGCGTTGATATCTGGAACTGACATGTGAATCAACTGGTGTGGACGATATAAAATGATTGCAGAAGTAGTTTTTCTCATCCCGCGTTGTCTTCTTATCTAGAAGCACGGGGTGGAACAAGCTCAGGAAGCCATCCAGCAGTCAGGACTGACCCAGCTGCTGGTGAGGAAGTGCAGCAAGGGGACGGGCTTCAGCAAGCTGTGGCTGCTGCGAGATCTAGAGATCCTCTCCATCATGCTCTACTCCTCTAAGAGGGAGATCCACTCCATGGCCCAGGACCCCGAGCGAGACCAAAGAGAGCAGGACAAGGAGCACGACTCGGACCACTCCAGCTGCTGCGCTGACGACACTGACGTCAACAGGCCCGACCCCTTAGAGGGACTCGATGAGGAAACAAAGATTTGCTTCCAGGTGATGAGGGATGCCAGTCATAATATATTCAGGTAAATATAATAAGATAGTGTAATAATCGAAAAGTCTTTTTCCACCACAGATCACCCACGATGCCTTAAACGCCCCCCTGCCCATCCTACGGGCTATGTATGAGCTGCAGATGAAGAGAACAGACTCTTTCTTCCTGGAGGTGCAGAAGAGGTCAGCATCAACTTCCCTATAGAGAAATTCTTTCTAAAATTTAGAGAACTTCTTTTTAATACACTGTATCTTCCGTAGAGGTACCTGGGGCAGGTACCTTGAGTGTGTGTATATAAAATCATATTATACATATATATACTGTATATATAGTATATATATATAATATGATTTTAATTTAAGGTTTTATTTTGCAATCAAAACCTGCCTCCATTTTATGCCTTTGTGTAACTTTCAGATTTGATGGAGAGGAGATAAAAACTGATGAGACAATCCGTACGCTGGCTCAGAAGTGGCAGCCCATCAGGCGGCCTCGCTCTGAGGAGAGGAACACCAAGGCTGTGGACACTGATATGATTGTGGTGTCCTGTGTGGTGAGTTTTTTTTTTTAAAGACATTATGAATAACTGACAAAATTACACAGAGATTTTCAGTCATTGCTTTACTCATTGTTTAGTAAAGGCCGTTGGGAACATTACTAATATTACTAGCTGATAAGAAGAGATATGACTCAGTGAGAGAAAGTTTGTAGGTGTTGTTTTTCATACGTCACTTTTCTTATGTCCACATCATTGCCCTCTTCCCACAGTCTAAACCCAGTCACTGTGAGAAGGCCACAGAGGAGATCAACGTCGTGGCCCAGAAGCTCATCACCAATTCAGAGAGCGACTTACAGCTCAGCTACGCCAAACAGAGGCGCACCAAAAGCTCAGCTCTTTTGCACAAGGAACTGGATGTGCGCAGCAATCGGGCAGTTCGCCAGTATCTGGTGAAGGTCAACCAGGCCATCGCGACACTGTACGCCCGCCACGTGCTGGCCTCGCTGCTGGCTGACTGGCCTGCAGAGGCTGCGTTGAGCGAGGAGGCGCTGGAACTGAACGGTGCCTCACACATGGCCTACATCCTGGACATGTTAATGCAGCTGGAGGAGCGGCCGCTCTGGGAGAAGGTAGGCAAAAGAGAGGAGCGTCTGATCCCATTGGTAAATGAAAGTTTGCATGCAGAGGTGCACATATAACATATTAGAGGTGTTTTGTGGATTAATGTGATCGGGAAATTCTGTTAATGATCAGATTCTCCAGAGGGTGCTGAAGGGTTGCAGCCAGAGTATGCTGTGTAGTCTGTCTCTCACTGCCTGCCAGTTCATGGAAGAGCCAGGTATGGCCGTGCAGGTCAGAGAGTCCAAACACCCATATGACAACAACACCAACTTTGAGGTGGGTAAATTACATTTTTATCATCAGCAGCCATAACTGAAGTTTTCATGAATTTTAATGGCCTCTCATTTATAATACTCTCTTCTCACAGTCAGCCATAGAGCTGGCTGCAGAATGTCTGTTGCTCAGACTAATAAGATTAAGCTGAACTATTCTGTTTCTGTTCTCTGAGCTCCTGTGTCCTTTCTTCAGTTAGTTTTAAAACCGTATTGCGTCTTTTCTGTTTGCAGGACAAGGTGCACATCCCGGGCGCTATCTACCTTTCAGTGAAATTTGACGCCCGCTGCTACACAGAGGAAGGCTGTGATGAGCTCATGATGTCCAGCAGCAGTGATTTCCTCCAGGATGTCCACAATTTCAGTGGCTCTCCTCAGAAATGGTCTGATTTTGAAATCCCTGGTGAGGAAATTTTCAAAAAATAATCTATTTCCTTTCCGCTCTACGCGCGTCCATGTGTGTGTGCATTTGAGATAGTTTAACTATTATGTTGAAACCAATGTGCCTGCTGTGTGGGTTTCTCTCAGGTGATACCCTGTACTACAGATTTATGTCGGACATGAGCAACACGGAGTGGGGCTACAAGTTCACCGTCACAGGAGGCCACAGAGGACGATTCCAGACAGGTACTTCATTAGAACAGATACACACTTTTACATCTGTGCAAAGCTGCTTCAGTGACTCTGCTGATTAACCTCGAAATGAATCCTCAGGTGCGTCAGGTTGTCATCCTGCACTTTTGCTTGTCTCTAGGGTTCGAGATACTGAAGCAAATGTTAGCTGATGACCAAGTGCTCAGTCACCTGCCGCTGGCTGACATATGGGAATGGCAGGTGGGCGTGGCCTGTCGCCAGACTGGGAACCAGCGACTCAAAGCCATTCACTTGTTGCTCCGCCTCCTGCAGTGTCAATCCCAGACGTAAGCCCAGCCTCACTTGTACACTTCTAGTTCTGTCCTTCTAATTCTTTCTGATGCTTCTTGTACTTTTTCTGTCATCGGTGAGATTCTTTTGAAACTGTTGCCTTAAATTGTCAAATTAAAATACACAAACGTTCTTACTTACCCGACCTAAATAATGCTAATTTGGCTAAGAGGACCCAGCACACTTATTGACCTCAGCAGTGTGTTTTCCCTAGACGTCCAGTATTGCACCTCCACACAGGGTTTGCATGAAAGCCCTCATAAATCCCTCATGTAGTTCCATGGTCGTGGTAGTCACCACGGAAATGAGGTGAAGGGTGTGTCTAAGAATTTGCATGCGTGCACAATGACTCGTCCAACTGTCTGATCACAATAACGTGACACCACTTATGAGAAGGTTGCGCTCACACAGACAGCAAACGCATCATCAACATCATTTTGAGTTTTACTTATTGTAACTTCACTGTTTGAGCTGTGCAGAGTTGAACACTCGGAGACTGTCTTCACATTCATCTGTTGACGTTTTCCTGGGCTCAGCTTAAGTTTGAGTTTGAGATGTGAACATAAGAGCAGGATTGTTGGTTTGGAAGCCATTCATGCAGCTTACGTTGGTGTGATGAGGACTCAGAATGGACTTTACAGTGACATACAAGTGTCCAGTAGTTAAACTTCTGAAACAGTATTATAGTATTTTATGTCTTAAAACGTGTCTGGATGGGATCTTTAACTGTCCACCAGGAAGTATTTCTGAATAGAAAAGTGCAGAGAGCATCTTGGATCACTGTAAATGTGTGTAAATACTGTAAATGTGTTTATTATACTTCACAATATGGATAGATAGCATAGCGATTAGTTCCATTAGCCACTCTTAATGGTTGATCGGATGTTGCAGGATTAATGTATGGCAAATGAAGGTTTCATTTTTCACTTTGCTTTTCTCAGAATCAGAAACTCTTTATTATCCTGTTCTGCCCGTGTTCATGTGTTTGTCCCGTCTAACTATTGATTTGTTTGCACTGCAGAGCCTGTGAGCTGACGCTGCTGCGACCTCTGTGGCAGCTCTTTATGTCCATGGAAAACAGCCTGAGCCAGGACCCCACCGGTGTCACCGTGCTGCTGCCTCTTCACAGAGCCCTCACCGAACTCTTCTTCATCGCAGAGGCCCGTGCCATTGTGAGTGATGCACACACACACACACACACACATATATATATATACATGCACATATTCAGGCCAGGATACTGTGCAGGTATTGCTGTTAAAGCTTGAGGTTTGGTTGCACTTTAAGTATTTGTTTTGTTGTGTCGGTTGTTTTTCTTGTGATGACAGCATTGTTGACTTTGAAGGTGAAATATCAAATGGATTCAATAAGACTGAATATGTAATACCTGTCCATGTTCATACCTTTTGGTTGGATAACAGACTTGAATGAAATGATGAGAGTAAAAAAATTACACAACAGTTTATTCTTTACCTCTATCTTTCCCCCTTCTCTCTGTCTATATCTGTCTCTCTGTGAGATGAGCATGTTTTTCTTCAACCCACCTGTTCTGTGCTGGGCTCAAGGCCAACGCCCGGCCCTGCCATCTGCCAGACAGCACAGTGCCACACTGGCTCCCTGCAGACTGCATGGGAGAGGAAGAGATGCTATCCATTTTGCGATGTGTATGGGCTCTCTCTCTCTCTCTCTCTCTCCCTCTCTCTCCCTCTCTCTCCCTCTGTCCCTCTCTCTCTCAGTTGTCTTGAATTATTAATTAAGAGAAGTCTCAAGGATTATGAGCACGTCGTCAGCCAGGAGTTTCCCATCTGTGGATGCAATTGAATCAGACAGTCTCAGAAAAGCTCTATCTTTCCTGTTCTCTTCAGGTCTGGCCGGGAGGCCTGAGGCAGCTCGTCTGACAATAAAATTACATCAGCTGGCTTGTCATTCACGATGGATTCTGTGCTCCCATCTGCACCCACTGAACGTTGTTGCATGACAGGGAGAATCAGATGCTCAGGTGGTGCAGCTCATGTCAACAAACACCAGGGGGCAGTAGGAGTACTCAGCAGCCTGTGCTGCAGTGGTTAATAGCCCCCAGCTCCTCAGTTTGAAATAGTCTGAGATGAAGGTCTTAGCAGAGCTAAATGAGAGATACGTGGATGATTTTATTTTTGTAGTGTTTTGTACGAGGAACACACAGAGGCTAATTCAGAGACGATAAGGTAACTCATTCACTTCCACCATTTAAGTTGTGCCAGCATTCTCCAGATAGAACAATGAAATAAGTAAGATTGGTTTGAAAAAACCTCACACCTGCTACCTCTTGTGGCAGCTGTCACAGTGAGTGGTGGTTGGTGTTGCCCAAGGTTCAGGATGTGGTTTAAAGTATTGCAAGAAATTTTAAAAAGTGGCCATCAGCTGAACCCAAGTAAAAGCCGGTGAATGTGGGTTTCACAGGCGGCACCTCAGCTGGGCGCCATCTAGACATCGATTATAATAAAACTGGACATAGTGTCTATGTAGTGTTCCACTCCCCCCCCCCCCGAGACAGTAAGCATTTATAATGTGAACTAATGTTGGTGGCCCTCATGTCATGTTGATATATGAACTGCGTTGATGACATCCTGTATAGTCGAGTTCAACAGCTCCATGTTGACACTACTGTAAAATCGTGAGAGGCTTATGAGTGCTGGACACATTGTGGATCCTTCTGTGGTCGTATTACGTCTGAGCCTGGAACCGGCTTATTTTAAAGGTTAAGCAGCCGGTGCTGTTCACATCGCAGCCTCGGTTCTTGTTCTTCTTTTGCACATGGAGATCACAGCCACGTCCACTGAGATTCAGTGAACTCTCTACTCCAGGAAGTGAAAGTTATATTTAGGAATCAACGGTATGTCATGCACTACTGACTGTACAAATCGTACTAGGATGTTCCCCAGCATAAACATTTGGGGTGCTGCGAGATGGATGGCGGACCGGGGCTCTGGACTGTGTCTCCAGCTCTGTAAAAGCTCCATTTGGCCGGTCTCAGTCCATTTAGCCTCTATGTAGTCTTATCTGTGTTCCCCAAGTCCTTGAGCTTATGTAACCCAAGGTACATCTCTCCCATAGGGCTTCAGTGGAAGTGCTCTTCAGTTTGTTTATAATTTTCAATAACCTTTCCAACATTCCACTGTTCAATTTGATGCTGAGATGGAGATGAAGAGTGGTGAGGGAACCAGGCCTCATTTATAACCGAATTCATCCCTTATGTAACCTCGTGGGCTAGTCTGTCTCTGGAATTTCCTTCTATTCATGACAGTTATCTGGCCTGTGAGGTTATCTATGTTTCTTTGCAAGCTGCACACCGGACTGTTGCAGGACAAGCGTTCATTACCAACCTTTGATGTGTTTCCCAGGCACAGGGTATCCTCCAGGAGTATCTATTAGCCATGACCACTGACGAGCAGCTCCTCAATCACACTGCAATGGTAAGGCTTTTCCTCCTTTTTTCTTTTTATGTCTTCACATAATAACCATTGATGCCTTTCTGAAGTCAAACTCCTCCCTCTAGCCGGGCTCTCTCAGGTCATCTTTGATGTGTTCAGATGTTAATTACTGCCTGACATGTGTGATAGTTCAAAGAAGTTGTGCGCTCACCCAGAAACGCTGTGATATTACGCAACTCTCTTTTCTTAACCACGCAGTCCCGTTGATTGAATAGTCTTCAGTGGCTGTGAGTCACCTCGCGGCTGGAGTCTCTTTTGCAAGTGAATCACCAAGCCGTTGACACCCAGCAGATCCCTCGACACTCCCCCCCACCCCTCCTGTTTTGAATATGTGTGTGGGCCGCACTCAGGACTAATGTATTTGGTAATTACAGTCCATTAGCATTTGTGGCAGTGCGAGCCACAGCTCTGTACTGTGGACCCCGTCATACAGCAGAGGAGCCTGAAGGCAGTTAAGAGGAGGAGAGGATGGGGGGGGGTGAAAACAACGTTGTGGGTGGTTCTGTTGAGCAGTTACCTAACACCTGTCAGGTTGAAAACAAAACCATAGGTGACTTAGCAGTAGTCATAACTATTATGGTAACAGTGATGCGCAGTCCAAGAGTGAATTTACTGAGGTTCAGAGGACGAGAAGAAAATGTTCCAAAGTCGTCAAAAGCAAAACAGTTTCCCTTATTGGAGACTTCTATCAAGTTGTTGTGAAGGCTTTGTCTCCTCTAGTGGTCTGTTATTTTCTTTGATGAGTTTATTATAGTGTAACACAAGGTGCACCATGCTGAGAGGATCATGTTCACTCCACTACTCCCTGGCTTTTCTTTTTCCTGTTGTTCCCTCAATTGAACCTGGATAACAGTGTGAGACAACCCCGTGTTTACATGTGTGCTGCTCGCTAAACCGTCCGAGCACGTTAACATCTGAATCAGGGAGTGCTGCTGCGTGTCAGGGCTTTACGTGGCGATGTATTGGAGTGAGGAAATCACTGGGTGAAGTTTATTTTTTTTTTACGGAGTCTGAATTTTAAATTGGTGTAAAATTGAGACCGGGAGGCAGCAGCTGTTGTCACTGAGTTAACAGGTCGATCATGTTGTGTTCACTTTTTCAGTAAAAGCTGCACTCATCTATACTTTTATATTAACAATGGATCAATTGACTGTTATGTGAAAGGGGACACTTTCAATTATCACCTGACTCTGCAGTTAGCCTTTTTCAGCTCATTGTTTATGTTCTGCAACGTTACTGTTTCGGTTCAGTTCAGCTCTCAACAGCCTCCTTCCTGGTTTTCTTCAAACTAGTTCTGATAAAGCCACTGAGCAAAGCCTGGCCACAGAATGACGGGCTAGCTGTTTGCTTTTAGCTGACATAAAAAAAGAGTGACAATTGGTCTAAACTTCTCCGTAAATTATTATCACTCTGTGAATTACGTAGGTAACCGACATGTTGTCTCGGTGCGGCAGCTGAATTTAATTCATTAAATGGTGAATTGAATCGTTCATATATTCAGTCAGTATTTGTTGTGGTAATTCTTGTCTGAAGATGATGTGAATGAAAAGATCAGAGAACCAACTCCACAGTGAACTGAATAAAAACTGAATATTCATCATATCATGTTCTTTACCAAACTACTGGACGGAGGGAAACGAGGACTAAATGACCGATATCGCCGACAGCTAATGGTGAACATTTGCCAGTGAAGAAATAAAATGCACTGAAGGGCAGTACAGTCTGTTGAGCTGCTGGTTATGAAACAAGGTGAAGTAAAACCAAACAGAAGGTGTTGCACCATTCAGTCAGCACCGCTCAACACGGCACAGATGAAAAAAAGTTTCTGACGTCTCACTCATCTTCACACCGCTCGGGTTCCTCTCCCCGGCACCTATTCTTCTCTACTGCATTCACATACTGATGCACTTTTTTTTTTTATTATTATTATGCAGGCTCTGAAGAACATCGCTGCCATCAGCCTGGCTATCAATTACCCCAATAAATCTACCAAGCTACTCAACATGTCCCCCTGAGAGATCTGCAGAGAGGAAGGAGGGCGGCAACCTGAGGGGGGGGGGCACATCCTGACTCAGCTAGTTCACTTTGAACGAGGAACAGAGGGGTGAGGGGGAAAAACCTCTCTGATCACCCAGTGCTTAACTTCTACCAGGACCCGACCCCCCCCCCACCCCCCCACCCCCCCACCCCTCCACACTGGTAACTCACTGACGTACTGTGGACATGAGCTGTGAGGAGGGTGGGGTGGGGTGGGGGGTGGGGGGGGCTCAAAGAGCACTTTCCACACTTATTCACAATCCTTTTTGCCTTAGGTGAGTCCAGTATATCAGCATGTGCATTCACTGGAACAGGAACAGTTTTGGGGTCTATGTTTTGTATTTTAAGTTTTTACTTGAAGATGCCGTGCTAAAGGACATGAAGCGTGCCAAATTCGTGACCTTCAAGGGGAAGTATGTTCCTTTTTTTTTTTTTTTTTTTTTTTTCCCCTCCTTTTTTTTCTTTTTGTCCCCTCCTGAACAGCAGCCACTCTGGGTTACGTAGTTGATCATGGTGAAAACGGGTCACCTTGGCGACTTGCATGTCTCGGTGGACATGTAGAGCATCCTAAAAATACTGTCCAGGACAGTGGAGTCTCATTAGTCACCACAGGGAGAAAGTACTGACCTACTAGCTCATTCCACTCCTCCCTTCCTCCCCTGCCTCTGTTCTTTTATCTATACTTCCTTTCATCCTACTCACCTTCTCTTATTCTACCTTTTCTTTTTCTGACAACAGAAGTAGATGATGGTATTTTTTTTTTTTTTTTTGAAAAAGTAAGATCAGTACATCATCTTAGATAACCTAAACATATCTGATCTGAAGCGCCACTTCCAAACTGATGACAGCTGAACCGGATAAAGATGATACTCAAACAGTCTTTACATAGGATGACAATTAACATTACAGCTGAGGGAAAACTGTGATAACATACTATTGCAATGCATTCCTCCATGTTATTCTATCATTATGTTGAAGTATTATCCATCACTAGTGAATGAAAGACCATTATGATGTCAAACAATGATCATGGAAATGAATAACATCAAAAAAAAGGTCACTGGGAAATCCTGAATCTAAATCTGTTAAAGGCCTTTACAGTTTTATCCACAGGTTTATTTACCGCTATTATTTTTTTTTATCTAACGTATAATTAAGTTTCAACAGTTTATGAGGGACCCAATTTTTCAAAGCAGCGAAAACAAAGCTGAGTCATGAATCATAGTCCGTCACACTCTCATGTCCCCCTTCCTTGTGTATCGTAATGAATGCAAGAACAACACAAATACCTATAACAGAAAAAAAACACACTGTGGATTTCCACTGACACAGAATCACTTATTAGACTTAATTGACTGTCGTTGTTAAGAATTGAAGCCGATACACTGATAAACATAAAGGTGACTGTAAAATAGACACTTGTTCACTAGTGACACATCTCATATTCGGTTAGCTGAGAAGGTTGGATTCTTAAATACTGAATTACCTCATCTTTTGTAACGACACAGATAATTGGTGCGAAGCTTCCTTCGATGTTGAACGTGACTTTCAGTCACGTCACATTAACGCCACATTTTATAAAGGTGAACTCCACCTGTAGCTACACCCACATCAGTCACATGTACTTTCATGTCAATGAAGGCGTCACGTTTTGTACGTTGATAAATGATCAGTTTCAAAGAGAGTGAGTAGATGCTGGTTTTTTGTTTTCCAATCATTAATGTATTCATTTCAGATGAAGAGATTCTTTTAGCTGTAGGAGGTCATGGTGGTTTTATACCAAAGAAACCAATCATTGTGAGGCATGAAACATCTCTGTAAGAGCTCCTTGTCTGTGTATCACATATCAAACAGCTACCCTGTGAGAAGCTGGAACAGAGGAAACCTTTAGACATTGTTCTATTTTTTAATTTATTTATATTAGTTTTTTTTTTACTTTTATTTTTGAACTGGTCCCTATGAGGACCGTAGGATAGCTCGGTGGTTTTGTTTACACAAACATCAGCTGCAGTGAGGAGACAGGAAGAGAAACATGGCCTCCACTTGGCTTCTACGACGCCTCGCCTATCTACGACGTGCCTATGGTTAAAAATGAAGCAATCATAATTTAACTCATGTAAGTGGAATAGTTATTAATTATATTTTAAAAGAGAAATATATTGTTTAATTTGAAGGTTTTTGTAACTTTTTACTTTTAATGTTGGTTTCTTTTCGCGAGGATGCTTGATATTTGAGGCTGACTAATTTGAATGTACATATCTGTGAATATTAATTGCACAAGAGAAAGACTTTGATATCTACCCCTTACAAATACAAACTTTAATGGGCACTAACAGATGGACACTTTGATTCTGATTTTGTATGCATGGCACATTGAAGGGTAAAAAAAAAAAAGTCCTGCTTGGGTTGAAATGTGATTCGTTTCTAATAAAAATAGAAATTCCTTAAATATAACTTCTTCTCTTGTTTTTTTGTGTAGGTTCAGCAGAGAATTTCGGTATTGATCACTTAGTTGGTATTGACTGGAGCCCACACACTCGCTCCCAGTAGATACTGTGTTCAGTGATCCAATCGCGTCAATAGTTCTGTTAAATGCGGCTTCCAGCCTTGTACCTCTAAGAAAACAAGTACATCTCATGCACTTTATTACAGGCATCCTTGCAGCCAAATTGCTCCTCTCTGCCATCTGAAATTCAGTGCATTCCTCTGCCTTTGTCCAAACAGCACACTGGTGTCCCTTCTGTTTATACAGTCTCTTCTTGCACAGTGGGTTTTTACCTCAAAGGCCCCTCAGCCCCTGTTCTGCCTCCCTGCCTCCTCTGTCTCCCCCCTGCCTGTAATCTGGAGACTCAGGGACAACACTGATGATGGGAGTGATGGTCGCTGGGGCGATAATGACATCAAATGGAGGAAATATTCAATAAAGCTCCAGATGATTCAGTGCCCCTCTGCGCCACCAAAGCCCCCACGCCAGAGTGAGTCAGCTCTGCTGCCCCCCCCACCCCCCCCTATCTTCCTCCTCCTGCTTCTCTTCCCTCCGCTCTGTCGCCTGCGTCTTCTGATTGTCCGCCCAGGATCCCAGTGCTGTCATTTAGCCAAGGTGAAAAGAACCAGCCGAGAAGGTAGACAGAAAAGAAATGTCTTACAATAACTGTAATACAGTCACGATATGGGGAAGCCTTGGAAAAGGGATCTGTAATCTGTTGGTGTTAGATTGTGAAAATCATCTTTTTATTACCTTAAAGTCATACAACTCTCTTTAATGCGCAGGCCTGTTCTAGCCAGGGAGTAATTCAGAGAAATGAAAGAATCCTCCTCATGTGATCAGCATGAATCTCGTGTTAAAATTTCTTCAAGTTGCCAATATTACATACTACTGAGTCCCAAAGTGTCCACAATTAACTCAACTGTAAGTAATCAAAAAATAAGTAACATTGTGTCATACGAATAAATGTATTAAAATATAAAACATAACTTATTATTACAAAGTGATATTTCCATCATTCTAATTTCATAATAACAGTTTTATGTTTATCTCCTGTGTTTTTGTTTTTTTTATTCATTTGTTTCAAAACTGTTTCCATGTCATCGTGGCTGGAGGCATTTTGTTTTCAGGTCGCCTGTCTGTCCGTCTTGTTCTCGGGAACACAATATGCCCCACAATGCCTTGAGGTGATTTCTTCAAATTTAGTTTAAACGTTCACTTGGACTCGAGGATCAACTGATTAGATTTTGGTCAAGGACACAATTTCACACAAATGTCTGTAAGGATAAAATAGTGAAGTGATGATATGTTTTAAAGGTCAAGGGTCAACTTCACTATGTCATCATAATGTTCAGCATTTTCCGGCTATTATTCATCCCTGTAACTCCCCAGATGGTGTGATTCATCATATTTCCTGCAACTTGACTGGTTAGTGGAGGGAAACAACTGTGATGCAGTAATTCTAGTTCCCAAGACACTTTTATTTCATAAGGTCACATTTTATTTCATAAGGTCACATTTCATGAATGTGGACCTGTTACCGGCCTCTCACCTTTCAGTCAGTCACACACTTCATGCCTCTTTCACTAGCAAGCTCAACTGCTTCAAGAATTAGCCACTTAGCTCCTGTTAGCTAGAGCAACAACAATGCTAAAGTCATTCTGAATCAGCTTCACTCCGGGCTGCTACTTGTAAATGAGCACGGTACATGGGGGCAGTGAAGTAAAATAAAAAAGTCTATAATAATTTCACAAATTGTTAATTTGTATATTTTATAGAATTGATTCATATGATTAATTATGTCATTATCCATAATCATTGCTAATTTCATATTTAACACTTTGGGGTTCCATAGACTTTAGGATGATAGAATATTTCAGTTATGGTCAAACAGGATTAGATATGTTTAGAAAACACACAGATAATAAAGGCATAAAGTCACCTGAAGAACTTGCCTGATTTGCCTAATTTCATTGAGAGGACATTTGTACTGGAACTCAGCTGCTTTACTCATGTGGAGTGAAAATGCTTCAAAGAAACAGATGCGGTATTCTACCACAAATAAAAATGCCATATATAATTTATTTGCATCTTTTAAGTGCTGGAGGGAATTTTGGGAGAAGTCTGTGCAAACTTCACCTTCTTTTTTTGTCATGTAAAGTGGTAAAATCATATTGGATTGGTGTGAAAAGGAAAACAGAATGCATAATGAAAATCCCTACGGGTCCAGGTTATATTTTATTCATCTCGTTAGGTGTGATACCTCCAGAAATAATGGATGAAAAGAACAAATATGTAATTAAGTATAGACAAATGGAAAGAACTGAACTACTGGAGCAGATTAAAATTGCTTATAAAATCCAAGGCCATACTGACTGTTTGAAAAGATAGCCTCACTTCACTGTAGTGAAATAAACTCAGATTCATTTTACAGCTTGTTTCGTGTGACCATATGCACAAAGCACGACAGCAGCTTTATTCCTCAGAACTCATTTGCTTTTCATGATCATCTCCTTCAGCTGTTTACACTTATGAATCACAAACCACCACTAATGTTT